GAGCCTGTTTCCGATTCTGTGTCTCCCTCTCTCTCTGCCCCTCCCCTGTTCATGCTCTGTCTCTCTCTGTCCCAAAAATAAATAAACGTTGAAAAAAAAATTAAAAAAAAAATGCTCTTGGCTTCATGTCCACAGCTTCAGTTGTCATGTATCTCTAAAGGCTTTCACATGTTTTCTCCAGTTCATGTCTGTCTTCTTTGCTCTAGACCTTCGTATCTAACTGCGTATGACTCTCCATCTATCCTGAATCTGATCTGTAGTCTTTCCTTGTGTTTTCCACCTTAGTGGGTAGCACCACCATCCTGGTTTCTCAAGAAACTAGGATATTTCTTGATATTTTGCCCCCCCCATCCATTATCAATTCTATCAATGTTTCTAAACATTTCTCAAATCCATTTTTCTCCATTCTGCTTCCACCATGCTGGCCCAATCTGTCAGTTTCTCTGGCCTATAATACTGCCTGCTTTTGTACACTGTACCAGGGATAGTGTTTTCAAAATGCTTATCTGATTATGTCACTCCCCGCTTAAATCCCATCGCTTTTAAGATTGAGATATAAATCTTTAACGAGTATACAAGGCATTGCATATTCTGCTTCTCTTCTGCCTTTCCCACCTCATCTTCTACCTCTTTCCCCCTTGTGCTCTCTGCTGTGGGCTCCATTCGGTTCTGTGAACCTGAAATACTTCCTCTTCCCTCAGGACCTTTGTGCATGCTGCTCCATGTTCTCGAAGTGTGCCGTGTAATGCCATAGCCACTGGCCACATGTGGCAATGAAAATTAAATAAAATCAAGAATTTAGTTTCTCAGTCCCACTAACTACCATTTTAAGTGTTCAATGTGACTTGTGGCTACTGTATTGGACAAAGAAGATACAGAAGACTTCCATCTTTAAACTAAATTCTCTTGGACAACACTGTTCTAGAATATTCTTTGCCACCTCCCACACCCTTCCTCCTGTGTGATTTCCTCAGGAAATCCTTCCCTGCCCTCTTCCTTCAGTTTCTAGTAGAGTCAGTTTTCTTTGTATCTAAGTCTACCAGCAACTACCGTGAACACATCTGCAATCAAAGTTACATTTATTTAGCCTGCTTCAGCAGGGGACCCTTAGGAACAACTCTGTAACATAGACTTGGGAGTTGGTCTTCATAGTGTTTGGGATTATACCGGGTAAGTGTAAAGAGGGATTACGGAGGTGACAGCCAGCTCTGGACTGGATATGAGAAGTCACTGAGGCAGTCTGGAAATTGGGCAACCATAGTTCAGGAGATGAGATAAGCCAAGCAGGACTGAGGATGCATTTGCTAAGAAAGCAGCAGTTCCTTAGAAGGAAGACGTGGGATCCACTTTCGTAGCTGTGTTCCTGTCTTCTGGGCTTCTGTTGGAAACATTGTTGGTCTTGTCCGTGTGCCACCAGAAGTAGTACACAAAGGCCGATTGTCAGTGGGACTGATTTTTTACTCTCTCAGTCGTGCTGTGCTCTCCTACAACTCTGCTGCTCTTCTCCAGAGTGCTGGCACCACTTTGTGATTTTTTTGAATGAATGGTATTTTTAATGAATATGTTTCCTCTGGTAGACCGGAAGTTTCATGAGAGCACGCACCTCTTCCCTTTGTGCTCACTTTGGTACCCATAGCATCTAGCACACTGCCTGACACGAAGCAGATGCTCAGTCTTTATTGAAAGAGTGGATAAATGAATAAATGAATGATAAGACCTAAGAAATTTGGTGGCTGATCAAAGACACGGAGGCAGAAAGTATCTGATTTTCTGACAGTTGACGAATCGTTTGTCTTTTTCCAGTAGACTCTTAAGCAGACGTCTCCTTCCTCCCACCTAAAAAAATTGTAGACTTCTAATATCCAAAATTTAAATGTAACATTCTTTTTTTTTTTTTTTAATTTTTTTTTTCAACGTTTATTTATTTTTGGGACAGAGAGAGACAGAGCATGAACGGGGGAGGGGCAGAGAGAGAGGGAGACATAGAATCGGAAACAGGCTCCAGGCTCTGAGCCATCAGCCCAGAGCCTGACGCGGGGCTCGAACTCCCGGACCGCGAGATCGTGACCTGGCTGAAGTTGGACGCTTAACCGACTGTGCCACCCAGGCGCCCCTAAATGTAACATTCTAATATTGCCTGATATCTCGAGTCCTCTCAGGGTCGTCTTTAAAATATATGTTACTGTACCTTCTTTACTCTCCTTTTTCTCAGTCCACATGATTAAGAAATGTATAGATGCACACATCAAATCACAGTAAAGTACGGTGTTGTTGGCTGTCTGCTTGCCTTTGGGCATTCTACAAATTATGTGAAAAGATTTCCAAATGGTTGTGGAAACTTGGTAACTGTAACCAGAATGACCCAAACATTTTGGGTATGACTCTCCATACTGAATCAGGTAGGGCTGTAATGACCCATCAATGTGATCGGGTCTCATGAAGGATTATGGTGTTTTCCAGGTGGACCACACATTTAATTTTTTAATTATAAAGACAATATAAAATAATGAAGGATAAAGTTGTAAGCTTAGACATTTTGGCCACATGTTTACTGTCTTTATTTTTTCATAGTTCTTGTTCACATGTGCCTTATTAGGGTAAGATTCTGTGTTTTAGTCAGCATGCAGTCCCTTTGAGTCTGAACAGTCGTAGTATATCACACCTTCTCACATCACCTGAGGGGTTAGAACCACAGAATTTATAAGTTTAATGTGTTTTAGTAGGCTAGTCCTCAGGTTTCAGAATTCTGCGGCATGAACAATAAATTCACTGAGGCCTGTGTTTACTAATGCTGGTCCACCAGAATTAGTTGTATTCGTATTGTTATGAGTTACTGCATATTCCATCAAAGGAGACCTTGGAAATGCATTTCCTCTATCCCTTTTTTAAGTGCCCTTTTCATCATGCTACCCTCCTACTCCAAAATTTTCTAATTCTTAACTATACTAAGTATAAATACCTTTTCGTAGATCAGCCCTGGCCAATAGAACTTCCTACAGTGATGGAAATTTTCCTGTATTCGCTCCATTATGGTAGCTACTAGCCACATATGGCAATTTAGTACTTAAAATATGGCTGGTTGCCCGAGAAACTAAATGTTTAACCTAGATTTTTAGGTCCTCCCTTCATAATCAAATCAGGCCCGTGTCCTTGTCCCCATGTACACACCACATTTGTGCCATCATTTTGTCTTGACTCATGTTGGTTTTCTTTCACCTGGATTACTTTTTCTCAATTCCTTCAATTGATCCAGCTTCTCTTTAGCTTCCATGGGTTAGAACAGTCTCCACAATTTCTACGAAATCGTCCTGTCATCTTGCTGACCTTCCTTTCCTGGCAACGCCCATTATTTGCTTTTCCAGCCAGGACACCTGAATGGATGGATGGATGGATGGATGGATGGATGGATGGATGGATGGATGAATGATTCAAAATAGACTTTCACATTTAGTCGTTTGGTCTATTTTACTTCGATTTGTTGTGGTTGTTGTTCATGTGAATTTGCCCATCTCTTCAACCAACTTTCGGTGGAGCCCCAGAAGATTCCCATTGAATGCTTTGTTGATTGATTGATTCATTGATTGATTGCAAAAGAAACGCAAATCTGTATCTTTGATTCTTTGTCACAATTATTGAACCAGTCAACAAGCTCCTAGGATGCACATAAATGCACTTTGATGGCAGAAACCATTTTCTTGGATCCAGGGAATTTATAAGACGACATAAAAAGAAGTATCCTGTATATTTTACTTATAAATTGTGAATTCTAGAGATGGTGGTTAAGGATCGTGAAGAAAGTTTGGAAAATAGCTGTGAGTAACCCTTTCCTGTGAAGGAAACTGGTGAGCTGTGGTCAAAGAATGGAAGCTTATGGCTGTGAAAAGAGAGGCAGGAAAGTTGTTGTTTTGAAAGAGACACTAGAAAAAAGTCACATTGGGAGGAGCAGGTGTGTGTGGTCAACCAAGTGCTTTTTCATCCTGTTATATTCACTTCAGGATCAAGTGGGGGTGTTTGCACATCTACTTTTAAAAAGGTTTTAAAATGTAACCAAGTGCTTCCAGCTTGCACTAAATAACAACTGGATATCCTTGGATCCAGGCTTCTTCACACATAATACTAGGCTTTAGAGTTTCCCTCCAAAACGTACTCTTAGAATATTGTGATAAAGATGATCTTAGAGAAGGGCACTGAATATGGTCAAGTGATTACTATAGAATAGAATTTAATACACATATATTGAGTTCACCATGTACCGAGTACTGTACTTAGTCCTTTATATCTATTAACGCATTTATCTGTCTAATCACTGTAAATAAGCATTTTGCAGATGCAGAAAACATGGCACTTGCCTCAATTTTATACAGGTAGCCAGTTAAAATGTTAGAATTTCGGACGCCTGGGTGGCTCAGTCAGTTAAGCTTCCAACTTTGGCTCAGGTCATCATCTTGCGGTTTGTGAGTTCGAGCCCCTTGTCGGGCTCTGTGCTGACAGCTCGGAGGCTGGAGCTTGCTTCGGAATCTGTGTCTGCCTCTCTCTCTCTCTCTCCCTGCCCCTTCCCTGTTCATGCTCTCTCTCTCTCTCTCTGTCTCTGTCCTTCCCTTTTAAAATAAGTAAATAAAAAAAGAATTTATGATTTTTGGAATATGCACTGGCAATGATAGAAAATGGAAGAGTTGTTTTTATATGTTTGAAGAAACAGGTTCCAGTACCTGCAGACACTTTTGCAACACCTGTGGACGTGTGAATATGGACATGTGAATAATATGCAAAGCACAAATACCCTTTCTGTCCAGCATAATTCTCAGTGTGCAGGTGATATGTGAGTTCTGTGCGCAAATGACAACTATTTTCATTGTAGTTGAAAACACAGTACTAAAAAATGTGTCACTTTCCTTTCTGAAGTGAGGATTTAACAGTTTGGATACATTTGTCACTTTTTGTTTCTTTTGCATGATGACTTACCTATTTGTTTTAATTTTGATGACTCGTAAATTTTGCAGAAATTCCGGAGTGCTTCCGTTGGAGCTGAGGAGTACATGTACGACCAGGCATCAAGGTAGGCTCCCGGGAGATGCCCCTAGAAACTGATGAACTGCTAACACTTGAAATGTCTCCCTACGTTATACTTTTGAACCTTTAAAAGAAAATTATTTTCTCTATTACAATGACTTCTAAATTGCTATTTCCAGTCTTGACCTACATTCTGAGGCCCGGACCCTTTCTCTGTTCTTTTGGTTACATATCCCCTCTTGGGTGATCCTCTAAAGCTCAGACGCATGGGCTCCAACACAGCATGTGAATAAATGGAACTCTTTGTCTTTCCTTCTTTCTCTTTTTTTTTTTTTCCTTTCCTTCCTTCTCCTCTTCTTTCATCGGTCTGCTTTTATTTCCTATCGTGGCTAAGGATGGAACCATCCTCCAGCTACCCACCCTAGAGGGGTAAAGATCTGCCTGACCTTTCTTACTACACTTTCATCATACTCGCCAAGTGCCGAATATCCTATTCTACCTGTCCTGTCCCTTGCAACTTACTCTTATTCGTGTTCTGAACTATAAAAATATAAGTGAGCTTCCTGCCAACACTTTCTTCTTCCTTCTGTTCCACTTTGCACGTATTTAGCTACCAGGTACCGTACACTCTGGTGCCCTCCGTGTACAAGCCATGCGAGAGGGATGGGGATGAGATACACCCTCTCCCTACAAGAGGCCCGTAGACTTGGAGGGGACAAGTGTAGTGATGGGCAATTGTAATACAAATTGTAAGTGGTGAGTCCTGCCACCGAGATACATAAACAGAAAGCTGAGAGGACCTACAGGCCTGTGTGTGCGATGTGGGTTGGGAGGAGTGGGGGGTGGGCCAAAGCTTGCAGGAAGGGGCATTTGAGCCACATCTTGAAGGACAGTTAGCAGGAGTTTTCCAGGGAAAGAAGGAGTATTAAGAACATTCTAGGTAGAGGTGCCAGATGTTCAAAGACCTCGGTCGTGATCGTGTCTGTAGATAGGAGAAAATAGCAAGAAATGAATCTCTCTCCCATTTATAAAGCTTACCAGTGATTTCTGACCTAATTAAACGCAAGTTACTCGTGAAGGTAGTCAGAGCCCTCTGTCTGCTGGTCCATTTACTTTAAACTTTGTCCTCTACTGTATCGCTTGCCCCTTTTGCTTTTATGTGTGTGGCTGTCTTCTGTTCTCTCTGTTTCCGCCTAATGTCCTCCTCATCCTTCAGGATCTTGCTTCAACCTCAGACTCCCCGTTTGGTCTCCCCAGTCAGAATTTGGGTGTGTGGTGTTCATGAGGGGGAAGGGGCATGGTGGGGAAGATAAGAGTTCCAAATAACCTTCTAAAATGTGGAAATACATACATAATTTGCATGCTATAAGCCCAAATCACCATGTAGTCAGCTGTCTGGTTGGTGAAAAGAACATTGACCTGTCAGTCACTTGACCTGTCTTCTCTTTCTGCTGCTGTCATTGTCCACTGGAGTGAGCAAGTTTCTCAGCCTGTCTTCAGCTGTGAAATGAGGAAGGTGTTTTTTTTTTTTTTTTCTTATGTTATGAATAGACAGGCTTAGGGGGCACGAACTCCCCAAAATTAGATTCAAAACTATTTCTGTTCATATGTGCTTTTTTTCTGGAGAGAGGGTTCACAGCTTTCTTCATTTTTTTTTTTTTTTTTTTAAAACAAAGTCTGTGCCCTAGACAAGTTGCAAATTGCTGGTCTAGGTGATTCTTAATATCCTGTCCAACTCTCAAATTTTATGATTCAGTGGCTGTACTGAAATTGCTTTTTCTAAGCAAAATGACAGTGAAATTGGTTCTGTCTTGAATGATTTATTTCCTACCTAATTCTAAGACACATATTCTGGAATTTGCTTAGTTTATCAGTTTAAGGGTAAGGTTTTTATCATGAAATGAGGAATATTGTTTTGCCCTTCACATTTCATTCTCCTTACAAAACTTACAAAAAATTAAACATTGCCGAAATGTTTAACATAGAAAGTAGGGGTCCCCCATAATGTTGTAAGTAGGTCATTTTAAGAGGTGAACTTTGACACATTTTTACATCCAGCTTTTCAAAGACTACTGAATTAAAGAGCTAAGAAAACAATAGGCCCAGTGAAGAGCTTTTGATGATTAAAAAAATACACAAAACATTGGTTATTGGATTATCACTATAGGCCATCCAGCAGTGTAGGAGAAAGAAATATTTCTGAATGGACATCTTAAACAAAAGAGATTGTGGCGCATACCTGTTTACTTTAAATAATGGATAAATTCTCCACATTTGGGAAAATCAGTGTTTTTATTTTATTTTGCTTTTATATATTAGGGAAATTATGTAGAGCAGCGATCTGCAAACTTTTTCTGCAATGGGTTATATAGTAAATATTTTAGATTTGGCATACCATATGTCACAAGTACTAAACCCTGCTGTTATGAAAGTAGCCATAGACAAGACATAAATGAATGAATGAATGTAGTCGTGTTCCAATAAAACTTTATTTACAACAATAGGCAGTGAGCTAGATTTGGCCAGGGGACCATTGTTTGCAAACTCCTGATTTACAGCAGTTACCCTTTCATGAGTTCTTTTGCAGTCTTGAAAGCAAAAAACAAAAAACCAAAAATAAAAAACCCAGTTTCTGCTATGGAACTAGATTCTCAATAGTGAATGTTTGAGTTTCATTTAGGTTTTCACATTTCAAAATGTTTTCAAGTGGGATATAGCTATTTTGCAACATCTTGGTTGTACAAAAAGAGGTCTAGGTACAGGTATGAATTAAACAAAAGCTTTCACACATTTGGCTTGTTGTTGGGATAAAAGTGGCAAATTCTGTCGATTCTTAAGCTTCAGGCGTTACTGATTGCCATCCAAGACCTAACAGATTCTTCTGGCACAACCTTACGTAATTGGACAGGCTCCTCATGGACTTTTCTCTTCCTTCTAAACCATCTGGTTTATGAGCCACTATTAGAAATGCTCTATACATTGTATTAGCAATGACCTTTGGTCTGGTCTCATCTCTTTGCCATACGTTGTGTTTTGTCTCTGAAATGGAGTAAATATTGGTTAATATTCCTACAAAATGCTGTCAATGTGAAATTGATTAGGAAGGCAGAAATGTCCAAGTGAGTGAATCTGACCACTGTTTGTTTTCTGTTCACAGTGGCACATTTCAATACACCCTGGAAGCTACCAAGTCTCTGCGTCAGAAGCAGGGGGAAGGCCCCATGACCTACCTCAACAAAGGACAGTTCTATGCCATAACGCTCAGCGAGACTGGAGACAACAAATGCTTCCGACACCCAATCAGCAAAGTTAGGGTATGATCCTTATTTCTCAAATAAAGCGCAGAGGGATCAGATGAAGGGAATTGCTACCTTCCTTCATCTTGCGGGAGGGTGTGGAAAAAATTCCAAAATAAATAATTCCAGAACAAATGTCAGAGAGTTGGAGCAGGACAGAACTCACTGGCTTACCGTTTATCATTTTAATCAGTAACCAATAAACCCCAGGGAGGGACATGGTTGAGACATGCTTTCTGGCTGTATCCAAGGGATTTTCCCAGTTTCCTTCATTACCTTTATGCTACCTAGTTGTTCTTGTGTTCAATCAATTGATCTTAATTTTTCAAGCAGGTAGTTGTAAGTCGGAGCCTATTTGTGGGCAAGGAAAGAGCTGCGGCTGTCTTCTGTGAGGGAGGCTGCAACTTATTCTGTGTCCCCGGACCCTTTGCGACTTGCTTACAAAGCCCTTCTGCAGCCCGGTGCTTCCTCAGGAGTAAAGTGAGGCATGACATGATCCCTACCAGGAGTGACTCGGTGGAGTTTTCACATTCATGAGTATTAGTTCCGTTTGTTGGAAATGGAACTGTGCCGGAAGCCTACCAGCTTCTGGCATTCTCGCCGCGGCCAAGAAGGGAGGAAACTGGTAATCCTTTTCTCCTGAAAAGGAAAATCATAGCAGAGCTCTCTGAAAAGAGGTTGAAGGACTTTCCTGCCCGATTGTAAAATGATTTGTTTTACATGCTGTGTGCATAGTGCCACCCCACCTTATTTTATCCATAGCTACCGCCTCCTAAGCTCTTTAGTACATTGAGAAGAAAGCCACGCTGTCCCTAGAGAGAGCATAGTGACTTTGCCCCCATCCCAGATGCCCATGCAAAGGTAACAAATGAGGGAGAAGAGAGAGAAGAGTATTTGGGCACCTGCTGGCCAGCTTGTCTGTTACTAGTTTTAGGTAAAATCATTGTAGCGGTGATCTCTCAGTCAGCTGGGTTTTGTGGCTTTGTTTCAGTGAGAAAGATAAGGAAGGTTGCTGGTCATTTCTCAGGCCAGCAGTTCTTCCTCCCTGTAAGCCTGTCCCAGTCCCAGATCAGAGCTGCGGGAGGCAGGGCAGCTGGGAGTGAGAGAAAGATGTGGAGCCAATGTCCTACCCAAGGCTGAGCCCGTTGTAGGCGGAAAGGGGGCTTGGTGTGTTCCCTACCCTGTGGTCAAGGCTGTGGCAGAGGGGGGCCATCCTCCTCCTCCTCATAATCATCGTAATGGTGGAGGGATATAATAATAATATTAATGACGACAACAATGACAGAGAGATGCCATGATACTAACAAGCGCCACAACGTAACAACTAATATTTATTGGGTGGATCTTCTATGTGCCGGGCACTGTGTTAAGTACCATATATCTAGCAGTCCATTTGTTTGAAACTAACAACAACCCTATGATATAGGCACTATTTTTGTAATCTTACAGATGAGGAAACGGAGCCTTTTAGAGACTAGTAACTGGCCAAGGTTACACAGCTAAAATGTGAGGGAACCAGGATATATCCTAGGCAGTCAGATTCCTGAACTCATTCTCTTAACCACTAAGGTACACTGTGTTGAGTCACATGGAGGGCTAAAAGCCATAAGCGTTTTCGCCTGGGACCCACCTCTGGATATATATGCTGGGCTTCCTACCCTATACCCCCACGTGTGGATGCCTGGTAAGAAGACTCTGGATAAATTTACTTTTTAAAACACAATCTTGTAAATTACCAGCGCATGCATAACTCTTTTAGATTGTATAAGTCTATAACCAGTATATATATGCACCCTCTTAACAGCACCATTATCTTCACCCTGAAAAGATGGTGGATGGTTCACATTCTAAGGCCATGACTATTGAGTTTGAGTATAGACACTCTTCCAAGAATTCTACTTCATTGAAACTGTGGAAATAATTTAATATTTAATTTATTTCCATCTGTTCATTTTGGCTAGAAAGAGCCCTGCTCTCTTACGGACTTCAGTCTAACACCCTTGGAGAGTTAGAATGGTGCCTTTCAGAGGGGTCTTTCTTCCTCCTCAGCTCTGGGAGAGCAAGCCAACATGGAGGAAAAGAGGGATGCACTTGGAACCCACCAGCATTAATTTTTGAGAACAGTGTCATTCTGAATAGAAGCATGTATGCTTGGTAATAGCATTTTCAAACTGCGTTTTTCTGTATTACTGAAGAAACAAATTTCCAGACCAAGAATATGCCATTATTTAGGCTAACGTAGTCATTTGCTACAAAAAAAATTACCTGCTATTTTTATCTTGGAACAGAAAGAAAGAAACACCAGGAGACCACTCCCTGAACTTTTACATATATGGTAGTCCTTGCCCTGTTATGTGTGGGGGATACATTGGAGGTCCCCCCCACCCCCGCAGTGGATGCCTGAAACCATGGATAGTATGTAGCCATTTATATGCTATGGTTTTTCATTTACATACGTACTTATGATAAGGTTTAATTTATAAATTAGCAGAGTAAGAGATTAACAGGAATAGCTAATAATAAAATAGAAGAGTTTTAACAATATACTGTCATAAAGGTTATGTGAATGTGGTATCTCTGTCTCTATATATCTTACTATACTCTGCTCACCCTTCTTTTTGTGATGATGGGAGATGATAAAATTCCTACATGAGGAGATGAAGTGACATGAATGATGTGGGCACTGTGACCGTAACGTTACGCTACTGTTGACCCTTGGATGAGATATCAGAAGACACTTCTTTGCTTCTAGACTGTGGGTGACCAATTGTGGGTAACAGAAGCCACAGTTAAGGGGGACTATTGTAAATGGCGAAGTTTCAGGAAATGGAAGACAGATTCAGGAAGTGGGAGAGAGAAGAATGAAACGCTTGTGGCTCTTAGTTCCACCAGAATAGCCAGTGATGCCTCTTCTTGTCATCTTTCTGTACCTTCGAGGGTCATGCTGCTTGTGAATCCGAATAATAGGGATATTTCCGAACTAGTGTTCCTAACAGACACCTGCTTTCCTGTGTAACCAATGTTCACACATACTTTGGGAATCAGCCCGATTTGGAGTTGACGGTACAGCCGCAAGCATGTATTGTGTATCTCTTATTTGCCAGGCACCAGGACCACTGTCCTTGTCCTCTTTGAGTTGGAAGCCAATGGGAAGACATTGCCATCGACAGAATAGTTATAAATAATTAATGAAATGACTACAAGTGTGCAAAATGCTACAAGGGAGAAGTTATTAAGGAATGAGAATCAATGAAACATTCTGCAATAGTAGGAAAATGTCCAAGAAGTATTTTGGTTATGCAGGGAGGAGAACACCAGTATCCCTGATATTGTAGTTAAAGGGATTTGGGGTTGTTTGTGTTGGTGGGGTCTTATCTCGTAAGTGGCAGTGAATTAACATTTATTTAGTTTAATGAGGATTTTTATCATTTAGAACTCAAAGGGGTTTTGGATTCTTATTTCTACAAGATATGATTAGTTTTCCAAGAAAGCCCATCCAAACTGTGTTGAAATAAATAAAACAGTTGGCCTTGTAGCTTTTGGTCTGTAACTTAGATCCATGTTCATCAGTGTGAACTCATCTTGTAGTATTTCTTTCATTACCTTAGTATTTCTCTCATTACTCCACTATTCCAGCCTGAGGCACTTAATTAGGCTAGAAACAGGTGCTTGCTTCTTTTTTTTAAAATTTTTTTTTTTTTTAACGTTTATTTATTTTTGAGACAGAGACAGACAGAGCATGAACAGGGGAGGGGCAGAGAGAGAGGGAGACACAGAATCCGAAACAGGCTCCAGGCTCTGAGCTGTCAGCACAGAGCCCGACGCGCGGCTCAAACTCACGGACCGTGAGATCATGACCTGAGCCGAAGTCGGACGCTTAACCGACTGAGCCACCCAGGCGCCCCTAGGTGCTTGCTTCTTTATAAATGGCACCAAATTCTATGTTTCAGAATACAGAATTTCAAAAATGTGTTTGTTTTCAGTACCAAATAGATTTTTTTTGGTATTCCCACTCGCCCCACAAGACAATAAATGTGCTGTTCATTGGTTAATTTGGTTGTTTATGACTCGTGGTAACGAGTAGGTAGGATTCTTTTTTCCTATGTACGGTTCTCATTTCCCAATCACTTTTTAAATAGGCCCATCTGTAAACAAACTAAGCTGCACAGCCGAGCTTGTCTGGGTTTTGTAAAGCAAGAAAAGCAGCCCCACGGGAGCACACCTCTGGCCGGACTGCCAGAACTGGAGGCTGACGCATCGGAGGCCCTGGGCAGAAAGTAAAACCTGTGATTCTCCTCTCTACAGAGCGTGGTGATGGTGGTCTTCAGTGAAGACAAAAACCGAGATGAGCAGCTGAAATACTGGAAGTACTGGCACTCTCGGCAGCATACGGCGAAGCAGCGGGTCCTTGACATTGGTAAGTTGACCTTGACCTCTCCGTGTGGTCTTTGGTGAACTGCCCTGTTGCCGTGATGCCAAGGAGAGCCTGGCACACAAATCAGAGCTGGGACCCACACAGCTCTTCAGGAGAAATGCCAAGCACGAGGCTGTGCACTTTGTCAGTACATTGGGTACAAATCAGGCTGAGAAATCAAAATCAGGCTAAGCTGGGTGCAAAGCACTTTTTGTTCTATGGAAGTCAGCTGTGCCTCATATAATAATAGTGATACATTTGGATTTGCGACGACCGTGTCGGTTTCTAAAACGTATTTCCAGGCCCTCCTGTGTTTGGGTCTAACGGCCAGTCGGGCCGACCAGATGAACTCTTATCCCGCTGTGACACGAATAACCTCAGGATCATTTGACTCTAAGGTACTTGTGAAGGTCACATGACTGGAAAGTGAGTTCTGGCTCTCTAATTCTCTGTCTAGTGTCCCTTCAGCTCCAACACATGCCTTCAGCTCCAACACATTAGGTGGTCTGGCAAATGACACCTTTGAGAGAGTTTTTCCAGCAGGAGGAACGAATTTGCCAAGTATATTTCCTGGAGTTTGTGTATTCTTTTTTAATTTTAATGTTTATTTATTTATTTTGAGAGAGAGAGAGGGAGAGAGAGAGAGAGCACACGTGTAGGGTGGGGGCAGAGCAAGAGAGAGGAAGAGTGAGAGAGAGAGAATCCCAAGCAGCCTCCGCACTGTTAGCCCAGAGCCCAACATGGGGCTTGATCTCATGAACTGCAAGATCATCACCTGAGCCAAAATCGAGGGTCAGACGCTTAACCAACTGAGCCACCCAGGCGCCCCTGAAACCTGTGTATTCTTAGACACGATGTCTGTTCTCTACAGACAGGTAGTCCCTGGGTGGGACTCAGGATTCAGCCAGGAAAGCAGAGTCCATGCCAAATGGTCCCACGGAGGGAATCTGTTGCAAACATTGGGAGGGCTGAAGGCACCGGGAGGCATTCCAGAGATGAGCAACAGCAGGAGTCTGCTGCTGTTACCTGCAGGGCTGGAAGATCAAAGGGAGGAGGTTGTGGGTATTGGGAGAACCACCCAGCAAGAGCTGGAACCATAGTGGGGGCTGCCTCAGCAGGAGCTGGGGCCACAGAGGGAGCAGCTTTGCAAGAGGAGGAACTACGGAGGAGTCACTGCCAGACACACCTCTTTAAAGAATGCCAACTGGGAGGAGGGGACGGAATGCCCTGTCTTCTCCCTGTCTCCCAGCCTCCCACCAGTGCTTCCCAAGGGCCGCATTTACCCTGAAGCCATTGGCACAGCCTAGCAAATGCAGTTTGCGGGAATCGACCTCTGGGATACAGAGTAAGATGGGAAGTCAGGGATCGGATCTTAAAGTTTCTAGAAGGTATTTCAGTATGCAGACAGTAATATATGTGTTTCTAAGTAATTTTAACACTGCATATGCTGTTTTTATAAGAAATAAGTAATTTCTCATCTGTGGGCTTTCTTGCCTCACTTTGCAGCAAAGAGGATGCAGTCGCAGTGAGTGTAGGCAAAGTGAAGGTTTCCATTGTGTTGGGTTTCAGAAGGTATTACTGAACCATTGAAAGAAAGGCATTACTGAGCCATGGCTTTGATTTCTTACACATTGCAATGATGGATGTTTAGACACTCCCATCTCACCCTTGCTAAGGTCTCATGACCAACGGCAGAAAGGTTAGTGACTAGGTTAGGGTTAGAGACTCACAATAGAACCTATGGAACTACTTGCTGGTTTATCCTGCAAGATGGTTACACCCCTCCTCCCCCCAGTGCACACCAGCATGCCCCCCCCCCCCCGCCACGTACACCTCCTACTAGTCAAATGTATTTATAAATGCTTAATAATAAATAATAAACATAATAACTTTAATGAACCAGGAAACTGAGCCCAGAGAGACCCACTGACCCACTTTGCCAAGTGACTTCTCAGATAATTAGTGCAAGAGCTAGGATGAGACAGTGTTCCTCACCCAGCCCTTACATAGAAGCTCCAAGAGTGAGTGACTAGGACACGGGCTTGGGGATACTTGCCTTAACCTGCTTTGTAGCCAGTCTACATGGAGCAGAGGAACAATTTTATTTTATTTGAAAAGTTAGCCTTATAATTATTACCCAAGAAAATGAGAGGAGCAATTAAGCAGAAATATGGACTAAGTCCAAATAAGGCAAATAATAAAAGCATTTTACTGGCTTACCTGCTGGTTCAACTTTGATAGTGTTGCAAGGTTTACTTTTCTTAGACCAGAATGATTTCTCAGCTCTCACAGGACTTCAGATCTTATCTCTCTTCTTATCACCTCTTGCCTGCCTTCAGACTTTTCTCTGCAACCCTTTACACACGCATGGGCACACACACGCACACACGTGACTTATCTTTGAGATTTATGACTTTTACTAAGAAGCTTTGTGGCTTACTTGGGCCACTTGCTCTGAACCTGAACCTGAGGGGTGTTAATCAGTCCCTTAGCTTCAAATGGAAAATGGACTTTTCTCACCACAGCCTCAACCTGACAGCTGCTCACAGAGGATGAGGAAATATGCAAAAATCTTACATAATTCGTTCTTTTACTAGATTAAAAAAAGATCAAACCGCGCACTCCTCTGCCAGTTGATGGCTAACACCATCTCCAGTATAAAGGGGGGGCCGAAGCCACGATCACGTGTACGTCTGTGTGTGGTACCCCGCCATCAGCGGGAGCTCTGGAGTGTGGTGCTGAGAACATTGTGAAGGCTCTACCTTGGTTCCAGCAGGGGAGTGAGCAGTGCCTGCTGAGGGTGAGGGGAGGCTGAGGAGTGCATGTGCCGTGTAGTTGCCAGTTTGGGTCGAGAACCTTCTGGTAGCCTAAAGAAGGAAAGGAAGAATCCAGCGTTTAAAAATGTTTTACTTTGCTTTAACCTCCGTGAAGCTGGAGGTTATAGTTAGGGCTCCAAGGCTGCCGTTTCTAAATCTCCACCAGCCACCGCGGCCATCAGGTTCCACCGGGCCCTCTGGGTAGTGACCTTGAAGTTGGGAGTTCGAGACTGAGATAAGGCCCCTTTCGCTAAAGCAGAGATTCATAACCTGTGGTCTTCAGAGTCTGTGGATGGACTGAGGGGAACCTCAAACTTCTTAAACACAATTTTGTGTGTTGAGGCATGCAGAGTCGTTCATCTCATTTTTCTGGAGGTTCCCGGGGTAACCGGCCGTCCTCCAGCTCTCTGCCTCTCTACCTCCACTCCAAGCAAAGCCCACTGAAGCCTCCGCCTCTCTTTGTATCTTTCCTTATTCCGCATCCCCTCGGCACTCATACGCAAGGATTTCTCTCGTCTCTTGTACCCTGTAATGATGGCTGGCGAACATTCTACATCTTTCCTGACGTACATTGATCTCACTTGGATTAGAATGTTGGTTGCTCTCCAAGGCTGCTCCTCATCCCCACATACTTCTGGTCCTCTGAGTAGCCCCTCAGTGCTGGTCTCCTGCTGGGGAGAGGACTCTCAGTGTTCCCGATGGAGTCCTTTCTGTGGGTCCGTGCAAAGGAGAGTGGGAGCCCGAGGGCCCAGGGCCCAGGGCACAGGGAATGAGGCTGCTCCTCAAAGCACATGATGCCTTGGCTCCCAGGTTCCCTGTGTCCTGATTGGAGTCGCCAGTGGGGCTGCCCTGCATCACACCAGGCACAGCCCTCCTTGGGCAGATACTTGCCCATTACATGGTTTGTCCCATCACTTTTTGCCTGTTGTCACCTTATCAAAGAGACCTTCCCTGTCACCTTACCTAAACGGCATATCCTCATCGCTCTCCAGCCCCTTCACCTGTATTTTACTGCAGAGCGTTTATCACCCCCCTACATTTTCTTTATGTATATATGTTTCTGTTTCTTATTGTGTCCCCCCTCCTACTAGAAGGTAAAGCCCATGAGTGCAGACACTTGTCTCTTTTAGCACAGGGCCTGAGACATAGTGAGTCGTCAATAAATATTTCCTGAATGAATGAGTGAATGGACGAATGAATAAAGAAACGTGTGGATTAAACTCTTATTACACTGACAGAAGGCAGGCCTCTGGAAGGACTGAACTATGTCTTAATTATCTCTCTCATGTGTTCCTTGTCTTCTGTGTCCCAGGTTCGTTCATATATAAACATTTTGTCCTTCATTCCCCAAAACAATTCTAAAAACTGAGGTGGTGAATGGTTGAGAATTTTCCCCAAGGTCATGTGCTTGGTAAGTGGTGTAGGTGAGGTGGAAACTCAAGAATGCTTGAGTTTGCACCACTTGTGGGTTTTTTTTTTTTTTTTTTATTCTCTGTCCTCACTCCACTGTATATCATCTTTGGATCTCAACCCCTAGGTAGTTCATGGCCCCAGCAGGCCCTGATTACTTGTAGAGTGACTGCAGACATCCATTGCCTGACCTTGCTGATGTCCTGCTTCCCCTTTCTCAGCCTTCCTCTCCAGACATGAGGCTGTTTGGCAGTCTGGGGCATGGGACTCTTGGCTGCTGCTAGTTCTGATGTTTCTGAAAGCCAGTTCAGATATGTGGTTCTTGTACATTAGGCCATAAACTATTTTGCGGGGGGCGGGGGGGGAAGGAAACATTAGCAATTAGTTTTTACTTGATAAAAGTAAAACAAACAGACTTCAGCCCAAGCGGCTCCGGCTGCTTTTCAAAGCATGCGAGCAGAGTTCTCTAAGCCTCACAAGTTCTTTCTTGTGAGCTCGTTGAATGAACAATTATTCCAGGTCATAAATGAGTTTACATTCTGCAGCCCAAGGAGCTCTTCTGTGCCAATTATACCTGAGGTCTCCTGTATGGAAGCGGCACTTGGATTGTTTCTCTTGTTTGTTTATCTCTGATTGTGAACGTCCCTTTATAAGGATGCGGAGTTAGTGCTGTCCCCATATTAGTTGCCACCGGCTTGCAGAAAGGCATGGCTATTCCTTATTCATTCAGCAAACAGGCCAGACCCTTTGTTAGGAACTAGTGATTTAGAGGTAATG